ATTTGTCTTTCAATAACATCGGCGTGCTGGGATATCAAGCTTTCCAAGGTCTTCCCAAATTGCGAGCGTTATATATGACGGGAAACTCTCTGCGGACGCTGGGCTCTCCCGCGCCACTGCCAAACCTCGAATTTCTCCTCCTGGGTGACAATCGCCTGACGGACCTTTACAACATCGGCGAGCTCAGCGTCAACCCGCTTCACGTGGACGTGACAGATAACCGATTAACCAACCTCGAGGACGTTTACCTCATTTTAGCGCAGTTCAAGCAGCTGCAAAATGTCTTCTTTGGCGGTAATTTCATCAAGTGGTGCACACTCGGCCGGAACAGCTCAATCCCTCTCAACCACAGCGTACAAGTGCTCGATCTTCACGATAGCTCTCTGCAGTTGATTTGGGCCGAGGGGACGTGCCTGGATGTGTTCAATCATCTGGAAAATCTGCTCGGTCTCAATTTGAGCTTCAACTACATCAAGAGTCTCCCGCAGGGAATTTTTGGCGGGCTCAGGTCCGTCGTGGAGATTGACCTGTCATCCAACGCCCTGACCCATCTGCGGCCAAATGTTTTTCCCGACAGTCTACGGAACCTCCACCTTTCCAACAACTTCTTGGCCTACCCGGATCCGACCGCCTTCGATTCCCTCCTCCTCCTCAGCCTTTGGGGAAATCGCTTTTACTGCGACTGTCATCTGGAGAGCTTCCTGAAGTGGATGAATGCGACCAACGTGACCTTGGTCGGCCCAGAGGATTACCGATGCGAGCTTCCGGTCACTCAATACGACCTTCCTCTGCTCAACTACTCCCGGATCATAGAACCGTGCAAGGTCGACGATGAGCTGGCGGTCCGAGAGCTTCAATTTGCGCTGTTCATCTCCTCTACCCTCCTCATTCTCACCGTCACACTTTGCGGGATCGCTTACGCTCGTCTCCGCGGACGCATTTATATCCTTTACAAAAAAGTTGTCGGTCGAGTTCTGGAGGGTCCCGAAGCACCGCCTCCTTTGCGGGAGGCGCAATATGACGTCTACCTGTGCTTCAGCAACACGGACTACGTGTGGGTGGAAGCGGCTTTGCTGAAAAAGCTGGACAACAAGTTCTCGGAAGAGAACATCCTGCACTGTTGTTTCGAAGCCAGAGACTTCCTGCCCGGTCAGGACCACCTCTCCAACATTCGAGATGCCATCTGGAGCAGCAGGAAGACGGTGTGCGTCGTCTCCAAGGAGTTTCTTCGAGGTACAATTTCACGTCTCGAGTTTAAACGCAACGGTTTCCACATCTCACTGCCTTGTCCCCTTCTTCAGATGGTTGGTGCTTAGAGGCGTTCACCTTGGCTCAGGGCCGCATGCTGAACGAGCTCCAAAATGTTCTGATTATGTTGGTGGTCGGCAAGGTCAGTGCTTCTCCACCAACATTCTCTGGTGCCGTTTTGTCTTGTGCGCCTGCTGCCACCACGTGTTCGAATCGGGCCATTTCGAGGGCGTCAAACGATTCCGGGAGGGAAATCATGTCAAAGCCTTACGCTTGGTGAAATACTTTTGGTATTTGCTAGCATTTTGGCATGGGTACAGTGGTTCACGTTGTAAAGTTTTGTGTGGCTTGAGAGGCCTATTTTTCAACTAAATGCTGTCCAGGATACAGGAAGCAGATGGATGTTTGATATTTCATCAAACAGCCACCCGGAATTGACTGTGTTTCACCTTATCTACCTCGCTTTTTGCCGTCTGTACAAAACTTTCGAAACGGTGTCATCAGAAAACGTAATTCGATATCCTGATGTAACCCAACTAAAGGTGGCTCACTACCAGCTGATGAAGTACAACGCCGTCCGAGCGTTCGTCCAGAGGAGAGAGTACCTTTGCTGGCCAGAGGATCCTCAGGACCTGGAGTGGTTTTATGAGCGTCTGGTCTCGAAGATTCTCAAAGACGGCGAGGTGAAGACGTTGGACAAGGGCGCGGCAAAGCCCGACATTCCACCTGGAAACGACATTCAGCTTGAGAACATTGAAGCGCAGCAGTGACCTGTCAACAAGAGCACCTGAATGGAAAAGCACTACTAAACAATACTGATCTTGAAAGGGGCAACAATAATTTTTTTTTCTCCAGATGAATCAATGGTTCTGTTATTGAGTTTGGTCAGGCCATGTGATCATTTTGTAAAATTTAGAAACCATTTTTGGATCCAGCCAATCCTCCATTTAGCATCTCCAGTTGGTCCTGAACACTGCTGCTCGCTTCTTGACTGGTACTCACTCGTAAGATGCCCATCTTTAAAATTGGGTCTGAAAACATATTTTTATTCTTTGGCTTTTGACTCAGCACGAGACTTGATATTTAGTTTGACTGTTTTTGTGCTTTCTGCTGTTGCCGATATTTAATATTTTATTGTTTGTTGTTGTATGAATTATTTTTACTTTAGTGTAGTACTTCAGAATGTTTCTGATTAGGTCATCTGGGCTGAAAGGGAGGTGAATAATTTTGAATTTTCTCCACTAGATGGGGGCAGCAAACTTGTTTTTACTTTATTTGACTACTTTAATACCTTGACTACTCATGAGTGATTTGGACCATCCCCGTACTTGGCTGATTTGTACTCGAACTACATTCCTTTTGAATGCAAATTGGGGCTGAAAACGATCGCGTTTCCCCGAGCGCCCAGGTTGGTTGAAGAGCGGTACTGCTGGGGTCATCGGGCTTCTTTGAATGGCCGAGTTAGTGAAAACAGGAAGCTACTGGAAGGGAGAACGCTTCCGTCCCGTTTCCACCGCTGCCTGCATCCTGTGGGCCTTTATCACCCAGCTTTCGAGAACGTGACATGGCAAATTTGTGCAGTGCGCTATTTCGAAAAGATCCCTCATCTGAAAACATATGAATCAGATTTGTGCCCAAAAAGAATTGAGAAAAAAAAAAGTTTTTTTAAAGTGCAAACTTGAACTACAACAATTGAGCAAACCAATCAAGAAAACCTTTCTGAAGTCCAAACAAACTATTTTTGGCCCACGTTGGCATCTCAAAGTGACAAATGCAAATATTTAAAGAAGAAAAAAAGCTCAGTTTTTTTGAGATTTTGTTGTTGTTGCATATCTAACAACCACCGCAGGGTATCAAAGGCCAAAAGATGATGTTGAAAAAGGACATCTGCCCTCGACTGAACAAGCATCCTGTTTCATCTCCGTCCTGACGGCCGTCTCCACCGAGATCTAATTTGAAAAGGTGAAGCAAATGTTTGCCGTGTCAACAAAGCCGGAATCGCCGAGACCTCTTCGTCGTTATTTTAAGCTTGTTGGAGTATACAACATGCTTGCGCAACCCCCCAATCCCGCATATCACAGGGAAATGTAATAAACCGCGCCCCTCCCCTCTCCACAGCTAATATTTGACCTCTGTTTAAATCAATATCGTAACAGAAATGCTTTGAGGTAAGCTGGCTCATCTGCAGTCTCTCAAAGGAGGGGAAATGCAGTCATGGCTGAGATGGAGGTCAACGAAACAGTCAAAATAAGTCAACACGTGATCCTCCAACGTGGGAGGTTCAAGCCGAGACCGGGTCGAATTCAGCCCGTTTGCTGCAGTCTGTGTACATATGGTGGAGGGGCGGCAACGCGAGGAAAAGTAACGCATTTCCACCGCAAGTGGTGACTAGGCGACTTGTCTCGGGTTCACTCATGCATTTTACACGGAAGCTGCCCCCGTTCTAAGATGCACTAGAACGTTCATCTTTGTCTACTTGGAGTTAAATGAGGTGCAAGCTTTGGTGAAGCTTTGGATTTTGGTTTAGAGGAAAAGTCTTACCTGGCTGACGGTTTCGGCTGTTGCTTCAATCTTCATCGGCGCCGTCAATACTTCCTGGCGACTGGGGTCTTGAAAACAGGTTGAGCGGGTTGGGAAACCTTCCAAATCGGACTCCCCCAACTTGGTCAAAGCTGAGAGAAAGAACATTAAACAGAATGCGAAGAACAAACAACACCGACATTGCAGTAGAACACAAAAACAAAAAGCAGAACAAGATAACAAGAAATCAGCCATGACGGACCACTGCCGAAGAAACAATCACATCATGGACCGGGACCGGGAAAACGGCAAAGTCATAACATCAGAAACCATGAAATTCAAAAGAGGGACAAAAGAGGCCATCAAAATGAGGAGGGGTAGAGATGGCACGGGGGGCTGAAGCACAGGCTTGACAGGGTCAGGGAGCCTTATTTTCTAAGTTTCCCAAACCGGTCAGATGTTTTTAAGACACGTCAACCGGGAAGCAGTGACAGCTCTGATGAAGGCTGAAGCGACAGCAGAAACTCACCCAGGCAAGATACAATACTTCACAATAATTTTCAATAATACTTGACAATAAATAAAGGACCATTGCCCGTTAGAAAGAAACCTTCACCCTAAGTGTGAAGACGCTGAAATAAAATGCAAAATTTGCCACGTCAAAGCAGGCTTTGAAAATGCACCGCCGCTTGAAGTACCACATCACGGGAAAGAACGTCAACACAGGGAGCTCTGATGTCGTGACAGCGCTTGAATATTAAAAGGACAGTAAAGCGAGCACGAAAGCGATCACAGGCAACCTAGTCAGCTCTCAGACTCCCAGAGTGGATCCACTGTATAAACATGGCGACAAATATACAATTCCCTCCACGTGCTTTTGGCGGGGGCGATAGCCGCCGGGGCATTTATTAGATAAGTGAAAGAGTGGGGCCTGTAAAGTGAAATGGCTTTCAGTCAACAGAACCTATTTGCTCAACTAGATTGACTTTATGACCCATAATAATGTTGGGATAATCTTGCGAGTGGCTGTGATAAAAATCTGATCTTGTGTAAATCAAAATAAAAGTCAACTGCAGCGTGACTTCGAAACCTGCCAATTATTTGAGGCCGGACACACAGCAGCGAAGGCGCCGCTATTTAGGAGCCAATGATGAGGAGATCCTTGTTTTTACAATCACACAATGGAACCTTGACGCATTTTGTGGTCTGTTTGATAAACAGGACAACAGCGATTAAGGGAGACATTTTAATTGGACAGACCGTAATCCACTGGAGACGTTCATTGCACATAAAAAAAAGTTGAAAAGCAATGTGTGTGTGTGTGTGTGTGTTTCTGTTTTTCGTTTTTTTTTTTAAAATGTAACATGACACGTATGTCACGGGTCATGTGATCACATTCAGTAGCAAATATGTGCGTTTTGTTCTGCCTGTGCAAATGCCTGCGGTATATTGGCGCATTGTTAAAAAAATAAAATAAAATAAGTGATAAGACTGTTTTCAAAAGAACAAAGTTTAGCCCTAAGCAGAAATAGAAACAATTTAGTGGGTCAGCGCTACTGTATAAAATCACACTGAGGCACTTAGCATCACACGATGACGAGTATTCGGCTCACGTTGCGGATCTTTGTCCTAACATAAGCTTTCAGAGGAGCGACTGCTGTTGACGATGATGGGTGGCACACTTGTTTCACTTTTCGGAACGTTGAACTCGGAGGCCGAGTTGCACTTCACCTTCAAGGCCCTGTTAAAACAGTCGAGTTTCTTTGGCGAGGCCGAAGTCCGCTCTCGTTTCGAGTTCTGCTTGCACTTTTTGACACATGGCTTCTGGGGGAGGGCGGCGCTCTCCTGCTGGCCAGGGATCTTACGCCAAACATCCTCCTGCGTTGCGGTTTCTGCGGTCACGCCGCACGGAGGGTGACGCCTCCCGTCTCGCGCATTCGGCCCTTGATGTCTGTCTGTTTGGCTTGAGTCCTGCGTGGCGGGGGACCGCGGAGTTTGTGTCACGGCTGGCGTGCTGAGAATTGGCCCGTGATCGGGCTCTTGTGCGTTAGGCTCGGAGCCTCGAAAAGAGCCATCTTTTTGGGCCGCGCGATGGCTGGAGGCTCTCTGGTCCGAAATGGCCTCCGGGCTCGCGGCGTGGATGCAATACTTGTGAAGATGGCAGCAGGGCGCGGGCGCTTGTCGGGGGTATACGACCCTTCCCGGGCCGCAGCGGTGCAAGTGGGGAGGCGGACAGGGGACGCAGTGCTTGCAGCGATTCCCGCGTGCGCACCCTGGGTCCGGTTTGCTCCGGTTTCCCGCAAGAGGGACAAGATGGGGGAGGGGATGCGAGTCTTGGGGAGGCCGAGGACAGGAACGGGGTGTCCACTGTGGAGGTGGTTCCCCACATGAGCAGTCTGTGTTCTGGGCGTACTGGCAGCGAGTGGGTGTGTTGAGCGCATCGACAAGGCCATTTTTAGGACTGCGTTTGCCAGCCTCCATGTGACTGTTGTACTGAGTGTGCGAATACTGGGAAGCGCGGCGGTGCGCGCGTACGCCGTTGGGACGCTGCGGACAAAGCTCTTGATCCTCTTGAGGTTTGTCTTCAGCTTTCTGACCTGAAGCCAGCGGCTCTAATTCGTAATGTTCCGCCTCTCCGTCCCCGCCGTCCAGCTGGTATTTGCCCAAACCAGAGCTCTGCCCTTTGGATGGAGCGCCTCCGGACGGGTCCTGAGAGAAAGCCTGACACAGCAGACTTTTGGGCAGCGGGATCTGGCCGCAGGTGCCCTGAGGGCCCAGACAGCGGCACATGCACTGAAAAAAGAAGGTGGCGAAGGCCCAGCTGACGCACATGATCAGCATCATGAAGGTGCCCAGCTGGGTGTAGGCTAACACCGTCGAGGGCATCATCATGGCCCCCGCGACAAAGGTGGTCAAGGCAGCCATAGCGATGGCTGACCCCATGCGGCCGAGGGAGAAAATCACTTTTCCCTCGCGGTCCGGCTCGGGAGCGAGCCTGTACGCCACGCCGTAGTGAACGGCAAAGTCCACGGACAGCCCGACTGCCACGGAAATGGTGACCGACTCCAAGACGTTCAGCTCCCAACCGAGAAGCACCAGGGAGCCCACGGTGACGAAAATGGTCCCGGCGATGGACAATATGGCGTACAGGCTGATGATGATGTTCCACGTGGTGAGGAGCATGACGCTGAAGGCGACAGCCACCGACAGCGCCATGGCAACCAGAGTGCCGTCCGACAGACTGTCCTGAAGATCGAAGAATTCCAGGTTGCTGACCAGCCAGCCGTGGCTGAGGCCTACCGGGGCGTGGCGCAGCTCCTCCGTTATCCAGGCGTCCACCTGGATGACCAACAGATAACGATGACATTCAGCGTTTTTCAACTGGACAGTGCCTACGACAATTACTGTAAATGGGATATAGCGGTGGTGTCGAACCTAAGGCCCCGGGCCAATTGCGGCCTGCCATCCATTTTACTGTGGCCCGCGGCGTGACAAAAAAATATATATATATATAATGACATAAAAAAATGATACAATACGATTCAATTTTCGAGGCAAAAATAGGTTCGTCCACTTTGTGCTCTATGGCTGAGTGATGAGGACGTCACATTAATGATCCTCAAGTACTGAAAAATGGTCACCTTACTACAGTTTTTGGGTTCTGAATGTGAAGTTGGGATTCGGCTGCTGTTAAGTGCAGAGCTGGATCTATTCTGTGAGATCGAGGGCTGTTGGCCACCCCAAAAAAAAAATCCACAACTGTTTGCTTCAACGCCTTCAATAGAAAGCTGCTGAAATAGACTAGACAACTACAGAAGGCTTCAAAAATGTGAAGAATTTTAAAGTGGCTCTATCATCCTTCAATTGTGACGGAGGCAACCCTCAAACGAAAAAGTTTGAACACCCCTGGGGCGGAGTGTCGAAGAGAGCAGAGGTCATTTCATTTGAGGAAATAGAAAAAAATACCAAAGATCATAAAACGAACGCCGCATTCACATGCTCTGACCTCACAATAGAACTGGTGCATCTTCTCATAGGCCAGCGTGAAAAGGAAGGTGCTCTTAAACTCCAAAACGATGGCCTTGATGGTGTCGTTGATGTCAAATCGAGGTCCGGGGGTCTTGCTGTCCAGGTGGTAGTTGGTACTACGATCGAGCTCCATGATGGCCCTCTTGATGCACAGCTCAAAGACTTCCTGCTTGTAGGGGAAGGTGGATTGACTGCAGCAGGGGTAGACGGATGCCTCCTCGCAGTCTTGGTTCTCCATCCACTGTTAAAAATAAGGTAGGACTTATGTACGTGTTTAAAAAAAAAAATGGATATAGACATTGCAATTTACTTCACCAGGAGTCAAACTGACCTGCTTGAATGTCTCGATGAAGCAGCTGGTGAAGTCCTGCTCGTCTGACTGAAAGACAAAACTCTGGTTTCGAAGCTTCTGGCAGAAATTGAGGATCCATAGCTGAGAGGCCGGACTGGCGATGTTGAAGCTGCTATCCAGCATCAACTTTCCCTTGTTTTTGGGGTTCAGGGGGTCACCGTTATCTACGGGCGTGACACCCCAGATGATGGTGATCGGCATGTGGAGGTCCTCTCCGTGATGCGCTCTCTCAAACATGAAGAGCTTCTTGTACTCGGCATCGTAGCGCTCGAAAGGGTGAGAGGAACGGAAGACCTGAAACTCAGCCAGCTCCAGCGAGGGAAGCTTCATCTTCGGGTTGACGCAAACGACGTACGCCCCGCCCACCGTCAGCGCAAGGAACCAGAAGAGCCAGAGGTAGCGCAGCTTGATGACGACGCAGGGCAGAACCTTCTCAAAGAAGATCCTCGAGGCTTCAGAGACACTAAACAAGCATTTGTGAGCCTTCCGGCAGAGACCCGCCGCGATCACCCGCAGGCCGTAGCCGCTTTGTTGGCGCTGGGGCTTGGAACAGGGCAACGCGCTCGGGAGGTAGCGCTCGTGCAACACCACCACCGCCGGCAGCCACGTCACCATGAGGACGTAGTTGACCAAGATGGCCGTTCCGGCGTAGATGCCGAAGCAGCGTATGGCCGTGATGTTGCTGACGTAGTTGGCGTAGAAAGCGGCGGCGGTGGTAAAGCTGGTGACGAACATGGACAAGGCGGCGTGCTGCAACGTCACGCTGACCGTTTCCGCCAGCTCGGCACGGGGCTTGTCAAATTTGGTGTAATTCCAGACGTCGCAAAGCACAAAGGCGTCGTCGGCGCCGATTCCCACCAGGATGATGAGGGCCGTGAGGTTCATGAAAGGGAAAAACTCAAAGTTGAAAACCAGGCGGTAGAGAAAATAAGACACAATGAGGGAACTGATGATGGCGATGATTGTCATGAGGGTGATGAAAACGGAGCGCGTGTACACGCACATGACCAGCAGGACGATCACGATGGCGATCGCCGGGTACACCGTGTCCGTTAGGAGGTAGTCCTGAAAGAGGTCGTGTTTAATGCCAAACTCGATCCCGGTGACTGTGGTCACGCCGTCCGAGGAGTTCCAGTTCTCAAAATTATCCAAGTAAATGTTCATCATGGACTCTCCCTTTTCTGTGGGCGAGAAGAGCATGCTGTACATGAGCACGGGTGGAGGAAACTCCAGGCTCTTGGGACTGAGGAAGTCCTTATCAACCAGGAAGTGCATCATCTGGTAGACGGCGTTGTACTTGGTGCACTTGCGGGGCACGTTGCCGCACTTGAGCTGATCCTTGCGCTTGAGGGCCATGTCCCAGCAATCGGGTCCCAGCGTGCCGTTGTGATAATACTTGGCGCACGAGCGCAAAATCTTCAGCGTGTGCGCCACGTCGCGCTCGGTAATCGTTTGGCAGGATGACCTGTTGGTGAGCGCCGCGATGTAGTTCCCGAGCGTCCAGCTGGGGCAGCACGAGGCATCGTTGGTGCGCTGGCAGAGGCTCCAGTAGTCACGGTGAGAGCGCACCTGCGGACAGACCAATTCAAAACAACACCTTCATTCAAAAAAATACAGAACTTTTTTTTTTTTTTTTTTACAATATTTTCTTTTGAAGCTCAGTTCAGTGAGCATCTAATGCAAAGGTGATTCAACTCTGGGCAGTGGCAATGACAACATGACCATGAAAGTGTCTGGTGCCGCTCCTCGTTCGTACCCGAGTGTTGTCCAGATTACACATGGATTTGATGGCCTGAATACTCCACAAATTCTTCCCCTCGGCAGATGAGAAAACCAGCCTGGAATAGCTGGAGCCTGCACGACGTATCAAGGAGAAGGACATCACATTCATCAAAGTGAGGCAAAACAGAACCTTTTTTTCCCAAAAATGAAATTCATCTTCGGGTGAGAATTGTTCCAGAAAATGGCACGTTTACCAGGCACATCGCAGAAGAACTCCTTCCTGAAGTCCCACTCTGCGTGCCGTTTTTCTCGATCAAAGTGGTCTTCGGGCCACTTAGGTTCCTGGTGACTTGAAAGCAATAGAAAATCAAGACGATGAGATCATTACATTATTAATAGATCCGATCATGACCTTGACAGAAAGGGCCGTGTTCACGCTTACTTTTTAGCCTGCTCGTCAGCGTATTTGAAGGGATAGTTGGCCAGTGTTGCTTTGTAGCCCGTGTTCTTCACCATGTTATTCCAGGTGACCAGGCGTTGACCGATGGCAGTTCCTCGAGGCTCGAAACCCTTTGAAGACATGCAAAACAACGATTTTGGCGGCAACTGCTAATCTGCATTTGCACAAAATAACAACTTTGGATAAACGGTCGCCGTATTATTTGCCAGCGGATACCGTCCACGTCAGCGTTTCGACCGTTCATTCTTCACCGTTCTTCGTCCATCACTGAGACTTGTATTTACCTAAACATCTTAAAAATGAATTACTCACCAAAAGAGGGTCAGAGAAATCGGGGAGGTCAGGAACCAGAACGCCCACCAGGGCGCACACCACAATGAGCACCGTGCACACACCGAGCACCACCACCGGCCAATCCGCTATTAGCTCAGAATAGCTGAAAACGCAAGGAGGAGACTCGAAATGGCTTCGAGATGACAAGGTTCGCCGCTGTCCAACATCCCCCGACAAAAATCGGATCAATTATAAACATGGACGCATACTGTATTGAATTAGCGCTAGCATGCAACTGAGAAATGATGAGATGCAGTCTGCTGGTTTACTCAGGCCAGGTACAGACAGACGTTTGCAACTCCCACAAGATCACTCATGACTCACTGCTGAGGTATGACAGCAGTGATGGATGGAGGATGGGAATAATGGGAGGGGAGGGCAGGGGAGGGCGGGTAAGACTTGGTTTTGGCAGTCCTTACCTTTTGGGGAATCGAAAGGGCCATGCGGGGCTGAAAAAGAAAATGAGACAGATAAATAACGTTTACATTTTGATGTCAAAGCAGTGGCCAATCCCAAACATATTTTGCAAGGCTTTGGAGGAGGCGAGAACGATTAATTTACGACGCCACGAGACCTTTGGCTCCCAATGTGAGCAACAGCACATACAGCGCGGTACGCAGTGTGCGGTGGAAAAGCATAAAAAACGATTGGTTCTGACAGCAGAGTTTCAAAATCCCTTTGAAATGTTAAAAAAATATATATACATGTGTAATTGAACACTTTCTCCTCCACATGGAGCTCTATAGAAACACTGTTTGCATTTATTTTCAGGAGCCATAATGTTGCTTCACTTTTGGAATGTACCCATGGCTACTTGTCGTGAGCTCAAGGAACTCATTTGCGTCAATGTCTGGGGAAAAAAACACACACACACACACACACACACACACACACACGATCCACATTTTAAATGTCAAATGCATTACTGGCTATGTTAAAATGATAACGCCATGACTGAGGGGCTTCGATTTTAAACTTTGTGCAAATGTCAGGTGGGCCAGTGGCCAAAAACTGGCATTTCGAGGCCATTCACTGCAGATACATTCCTTTTTTGAAAGGGGCGTGGGGGTGCTTACTCTTGCGTCTGTCTTTTTTTTCTTTTGTCTGTGTAACATTCACTGTTTTTCTATTTACCTGTGGGAGTCTTTCTGGATCACTGGGCTAATTAATAAGGTAAACACAGGCCACTGGCCACTCACTCAACGCTGTGCTGACAGAGCAAAGGAAAAAAAAAAAAATGCCGGGGGTTGTCAAGCATGTGTGAGAGGATGGCGATGTGTGTTAGCCTTCCTGCATCACAAGTGGGTTCACCTAATCGCAATGATCATGACAATTTGTGTCGTTAAACCCTTTGATAGAGATTCAAAACATATTCTAGACCCGCTAAAACAAACAATGATTGCAGATATAAAAAGATAGTTTGTTGAAGATGAAATCAGATGTTCCTTGTTTGGGTTGTGCCAAAGACGCTCCAATCGTAGAGTGGGAAAGAAAGCACTTCGTCATCACAGCTTTCCTTTCTAAATATGGCTGAGTTGACAATGGTGACTAATCACGAGCGGCCGTGAAAGGCAACGAACAATCAGTGAACAAGTGAAAACCAATTCAGTACTTCATCAATCATTTTCTTCGACAATTTAGAAAGCGCTTATTTCTGATCTTATATAACGCGTGCATGGACACAAGTCTGTGTGTCTCGGGGCTGAAGTTAAAGGTTCAGACGTTGCGGAATGTCCGCTGTCAGACAGGTGGGCAAATATTCCGTAAAACGGGGCTTCAAATCGAAGCAATTAGTGTCAGCAGTAAGGCTTCCCTCACCCTGATGTGCGTCTTGCTGGAACGCGTCACATGATTAGCTTTCGAGCAAGCCACCAAATGGGCGGACGTGCGCCCATTTCAAAATGTCATTACAAGAGCAGGCGGAAAAAACATGGCCCGCTGCCAGGCAAGTCATACAACTGTGCCAACGGTTTGAAAGCCAGTCGAAAAATTATTTCATTACTCAACTGCGACAATTTCATATTTGTTTTTGCTACAAAATGTTTTTGAGACCACTTTTTTTTTTTGGTATCAGAGGCGCCCAAGGCGGGGGGAGTGACGCAATTGCATGAGCCCACGGCTGCTGGAGGGGCCCCATGAAAATATTGTTGACAATTTGCGGCTCTGTCATGTTCAGCGTTATCACTTAACGTTGCTCCACCTTTTCCTTCAATCACACACGCCGTGTTCTTCTCTCTCTCTGTAAGCCCCCCATGACAGACAGCAGATGGGACAAAACCCGTAAAGATAGTCATCTCTGAGTAAACACCTGTCCATGAAGGCAGGATCAAAGAGGGACATACTGTCAACATTCTTATTTCTCAGCAGCGTGCCAGCACATTTTTTTTTTTTTTTTTTAAAAGGCTTGCTGCTTCTGGCTGCTTAAGGAGATCACTGCATTTTCTAGGTAATCCGTACAGTGACACGCTGCAATTCTTGCGAAAAAAAAAAAGTGCTATTCTCGAGAAACGACAATACTTTGATGAGATTTAAGAAAAAATATTTTGAACGTTTACTATGAGACTTTTTTTTAATATACTTTTTTTTTTTTAACTTGTACTGGTGGTGCTGCTGGAAGATTTTCCTGAAGGAAAGCAAAATCATTTTTACATTGTTACTTTTGAACCAGTGTGCTCGACCGCCGAGCGCTAATATTTTTCCGAGGTAGACTTGCCTCACCTGTACAACTCTACATAGGACAAAAAATATATATATATATATATGCGAGAGACTGAAGGAAAAGGAAGACACCTGTTTAGGTAAGTAAGCAATCGGTTCAACATGAAAGAGTCCAAAGACCACATCTGCTCCCCATTTACAAGAGGAATGAGAAATGGGGCTAAGGGGGTGGTAGCGGTGCGTTTAAGGAGGTCAAAGGAGTATATGAAAGGGGAGAAAGAAAAAAGAGGAAAACATGGAATAAATGTATGGAGGGATGATCCACGGATGCCTTCAAGTTGAATGCCTTACTCTGCCCACTCGGGATCGAAGGTGTGCTAGCGACGACACACATCCCATCTTTCGGCAGTACCGAAAAAAGTTGTTTTTCCAGAGTTGTACGTATGTGGAGGGACCGGAGGACATCCTATTAAACTCGAGTGAAGAAAATTCCATGTTGAGAAGTGGGAGGGAATCATCATAAATAAATAACGCGCAGATAAAAACAAGCACACATGTAAATAATTACTTGTACAAAATTTCCTCCAACTCCCTCCCCATGTTTGCAGCATTGGTAAATATACTGTAGGATGATGCAAATAATTATGCACGCCATTAAATGGTCCCAGTTCCAGATGCGGTGATGGGCTGCGGTTTTAGAGGAAAAGTCAACTCCCTTCTCACTAAATATGGATCACTCGGAAAAGCAGAAAGCTTTGCCAACAAATGGCTTTCATACTAGCGTGCCGCTTTGACAGGCAAATGCTTGGTTGCGAGAGACCTCAAGAGCGTTCAAATGGTTCCGAGTTAAAAGTTGTTGGCTGCGCAGAGGGCTACCTTCGGTCACGGGATCAACTTTTATTGAACAGACTAAAACGAAACCTTACTGAAAAGAAATATGAACATGATGGAAAAAACAATTCTGTCAACTTCAAAAAACAATGCAAAATGCCATCTTTCCAAAAATGTCTTTGCACTTATGCCACAAAGAGCTGGATACTATTTTCTTGACATTAGGTTTGTTTATGTTTGGGTGTCAGATTCTGTGTTGCCAAAATTGTCAGGATGAGGTTAGGAAAAGAAGGGGGAGGCATTTCTCAGCATCCTTTCGCTGTCGTCACAATGACCACATGTGGCTGCTTTTGCACGGACATGATAGAATTGTTCAAGTGACGGCGTTTCCCGTCATGTACAGTTAAAAGACTGCTACATTAAAAAAAAAAAAAACACATGCACACACAGCACGACACATACCTAATCCCAGTCGGATGTGTTGAACTCTGGAGGTGCTCCTGCCAGGGCTGGTGACTGTGATGGAGTAGATGATGCGGGGTGGTCGGGTGTGTAAGATGGGGCCGCGGGTGTGAGTAATTGCAGGCGGGTGGACAACAAGAGCAGGTCAGAGGGCTCCTGGAGTGAGGAGCCAAGCCGGGCCCGTGGCCCATGCCTGCAATCTGGAGGGGAGGGCACTCCTGCTGACCGCACGGGCAGCAAAAGGAGTGGAAGTGACACTGCTGGCAGCAGGGCGCTGCGGGCTGCAGACAAGGGGAGGGCGGCGATGGAGCGGATGAAAGCTGGCGTTTGGCTAGCGTTTGCGAGTCCGTGACGGCGGGGGAAGGTGCGGCGGCGGCGGTCGGGCGGGGGAGCGTCCGAAGGCTTCCGTTCTGTTTGACAACTCCGCCGTTTTGGCTCGGTCTGTTTGTTCTCTGGACGTGTGATCTTGGCTTCTTTTGCGGCTGTCTACGTGCCGCATTCCTAAGTGAGGTTTCTTCGTGTGCCTCTGCTGAAAGGTCATCGCCCTTCGAAGCGGCCGCGTGAGGCTCCTGGAAACTGCTGTCCTGTGTGCCGTTGTTTGAAGGTGCGTTCCCGCCGGTGCCAAGAGGATGCCCTTCACCGCTGGGGGCCGGATGGTCATCGACCGCGTCGCTTAGGGCCATCGTCCTCTCCGGAGTGGCCTGGCCGGTATCCTGTCACTCCTCTGGGGTGAATTTAAAAAAACAGAAGACATCATAGATTGCGTTGGTTTGCCAAGTATAAACATGTTTTAGCCTTCCATAATCCATAAAATAATGAAGAATGTGTAAACTCTCCACTGGTTTTTAACGGTGAGTCATTTTCCAAGACACAAGGCGTGCGTTCACTGCAACTTCCTTTGGAATGACAACAGGGCCAACAAATTAGCTCATTTTCAGGACTGTACAATTTAGCGGGCCGGAAGAAAAGAAATTAGAATCTTGGCGGCAATTTTAGCATGTGGGCGAGCCGGTGCCTGGGGGGGGGGGGGCGCGCGGGCGGGGATCGGACGGGCATGCCTGTGGTTTTGGGCGGTATGCCCGATACAGTTCAAACTGGGTTGCATTTAAAAAGTGGCCGAGGCTTGCGGAACTGAGCACAACACACACACATGGAACACTAAAAGTACGAGTGCAACGTGATGCCGTCAAGTGACACAAATTGCCTTTGACCAGGGGTCCACAAACCTTTTCACGCAAGGGCCAAATAACCCTTCTCTGACAGTGGCCGACTTCGGTTTGTAACAAAAAGTATGACGATTGCAGGAGGTGTCTCGACGTCAACATTTATTGTTTTCCGCACATAACCAGAAAGTTACAATTATTGACGTTTGAGGTTGAAAATTAATTTTGCTCAAGTATGTTCGGAAGAGACATGACCAAATTCTTGGACGTCATTTGAGATATTTGTAATGCCTTTCAGTATCACCTACAGCGATGGGGATGAGGCAAAGATTTGTTATTTCTTTTTCCCTGACGCATCAGAAAGGCAGGCCAAGACATTTGGCCCGATTCCCATAAGTAAGTGGTTAGGAATGACGCAGCAGATGACGAAGAATCTTTTGGACAAGGTCTCATGAGAGGGGTTCTGACGAGTGGGGGTGTGAGTGATTGAGACACCTCGGGCGACAGCGAGCTGCAGTTGAGGCACCTGGCATCCCTTTCATTTAGGCTAATGTGCCGTAATTACGAGGCCTCAGTCAGGAGACGGTTAATCCACTCGGTTCACATCAACATGCAGCACACTCCCCGCCCAGTTACCTACAGCTTGACTTACTATTCTTTGACATGTTTCTAGTTGTCAGGACAGACTAGGCGTATATTTGACCCCGCAAGGGTCGTTTTTTTTTTTTGTTTTTTTTTACAAGCTGGGCTGTTTAAAATCTGGGCAACAGCACTGACAGTTTTGGCTTGTCCCATCAGAGGAAAAAGAGACAAACACACCCTGGCAAAATGCTCTTGATTTTCCAACACAAGTAGGCTACTGCCAAAAAAAAAAAACTCAAATTGCTGCCCTGCCACTAAGACGGACACACAAACACCACGTATAAACTTTTTTTTTTTTGTAATTAACAAGGCAAAATCACTAGGTTGCTCACAAAACTAGTACTTGCACAAAAGGCGAGTGCGCACTTTTGGATTTGTGACGTCTTGGTGACAATTATTTTGAATGTCTCCGGAAAAGAAAGTTTCGTGAGGGTGGCTTTCTGACTACTTAATCGCAACAAATTAATCAAATGAAAGCTTCCAAGCGAGTTTCTAAAACCATTTCACTTGAAGCGGTGCGCCTGGCTCATGCTTACTTCCTGTTTCCACAAAGCCAGATAATTCACTGCAAAGCCAGACATTGCACGCGCTTCTTTTTATTTAGGGAAAAAGACAACACTTGAGCAACCTAGCGATGAAGCAACGCTGCAATCCCCAAAGTGCCCCCCACACACGAGACCGACACAGCGAAGGGCATCATCGACGTCATCGTGCCTGCGCAGCTTCGGCGCACGTTCGCGGTTCCTTTGGGAAATCGCACCGGCTCAAGACGCGAAAATGAAACGCACGCCACTAAAGCTTCACAACCTACCGTGTGCGGTGGGTTTGTCCCAACGCTTCGTCCTTGCAACACGCGGCGCCTAATCGGAGACGCCCCCCACCCCACAAAAACAACAAAAAAAGTCTTCCCGTGCAGCGCAAATAGCCGCAGACCGAAAAAACAACGAAAGCCAGGAAAGACAGAAGCATGTCAGACCAGCGTAGGGCGGTGTGTCCGCACACCACCTTTTCCTCCGGAGAAGAGTGAGGCAAGGCTGGCAGGAGGCGGTGGGCTGGGACTGCCTGGAGCGCAACTCACTGATAGGACCACCGTCGTCTCGCCTTTAACCCGCTCACTGCCACGCAAGTCATTCCCGAATAATCGGGGGTGCTCATCTTTTGCACACCGACAGCCAGAAAAAGAAAAAACATCATCTTCTTCGATCAGGGCTGGGGAATTCATTTTGCAAAGGGGCCACATGAGAAACTGGGACGCTTGCCAAGCTAACATGCTATCTTCAACTTTGTTCAATATTATTTTTCATGTACTCGGAAACAAACACATTGTCTTGTTTCAATAAAGCGCTACGCGTGTAGACATGGCATGTAGTGTTAAAATAGAAATGTTAAATGTAATTCAAAAGGGGCCATTAAAATTTCATCTGTAAAAAAAAAAAAAAATACATCAATGAGTTGTGGGGGGGGGGGCATGCATGACGTCAGACATCAAATAAAAAAAGAATCCTTATATTTCACCTCCACCAGTCTTGCACTTTGCTAAAAGAAACCTGATGGACCATGTAAAGAAATTTTGTTGGTAAAAATATCTCCTCGGCAGGGGACGAGTTTTATCACCGAGTATGCTCGGAAGGCAGAGAGGGCCGTACCTGGCTTGGATTGCAGCCGTCCGCCAGGATTAACACACAGTTCATATAGCAAACCGTAATCATCTGCAGTCGTGCGGCACGCTGACGCATCTGGCCTCCAGGCCAGTCAAAGCCCAACAAGTCATTTCGTGCTTTGTGATCATCTCTAATAATCACACTGATACCAAATGCACTGATGCATGCTGACGCCTTTACCTTTTCCCCTTGCCTTGAGTGTCACATGTGGCAGTATAATGCCAGTGGGGAGGGGCGGGGCGGTTGGCCTGCATGGAGCCAAAAACTGCAAACCACATCAAAGGCCATAATGTGCTTGGAAGGACAGAGGCCCAACAGGAAAACCCACAAGCCCTCGAGACGACAACAACTGCACACAACTCGTCAAAGTGACGGTTGGTGTCATGCATGACTATGAGAGCGTTCCGATTATTAGGGGCAAAATATAAACGCAACTTGCCGATATTGAGCACAGGCCGAAGTCAAAATGTTTTCGTCCCGGCCTTTGCCCGCTTCCAGCATTATACACTGTAGCATGCAAGATGAGTGTCTCGTTTTAATATGCATTTTTGAGCATGGAAAATAAATCAGTCTACTTCAAGGACCGGCTTCAAGCCGCCTCCCGATACGCTGGAAATAAAGTCGTTCTGATGGATGGCACTGGTATTTATGGAGAGAGATGCTATTTCATGCAGATTCCACCACTGAAGTGGTTCTCTGCCTGTGGATAAATCACTACTTTTGCAACGTAAAAAATGGGCACCAGATCTTTGGCAAGATCGACTCCACGGCTGGCTTCCAACCGGCCTTCTTGTCATACGCAAAACAATACCAAAAGAACTGATCTTTTCTGTCTCTTTCTGAGTCGCTCGCAGGGCAACGTTTGCCGCTGCGCGTCAAATGTTGAAATAACGTCGGACCTTTGAACATACTGAGCATTGGGACTGAACTGAAAGCAACTTTTTAAAGTTATATTTCGCTTGGCGTGCTGATATAGTGCACGTTGGAAAGAGTCAGACGTGATGCAGATGGCCGATCCGTCTGGTTCTTATCATTATGCAACATAGTGAGAAAAGCACGCGACAGACCAGAATAAAAGCCGTTGGCTAGACTTGAAGAGACTGGCAGAAAAGTGGAGCGGCACTTCTAGTCAACATTCTTCTCTGATGTGTTGACTGGCACCTCAAAGGTGAGGATGACATCACATGCACGTGTTCACTCATCAGTTGGCAGGTGCAAAAGCCACGGGCGAGATGCCCCCATTTGCTATGATTTCAAGACCAACGGCATTGCAAATCAAAGCAACCGCTAACTTAATATCGACATGAAAGGTTAAGCGATTTGTACAGTGGGTATAAAAAGTCTACACCCCCCCATTCAAAAATCCATGGATTTCTTATTCTATAAAATTATACTTACAATGGTACAGAATGGCCCTTCTATGTCATTGTCATTTCTCAAAATCAATACTTGCGTCTTTCGCCGTGCCGCCCCTCTGCCCTCCCCAGAGGCCTGAAGCACTCGCTTGTCTGGGAAACGACACGGTTCAATCAGAAATCCTCTTTCTGTTGGCTTTGAGAAGGAGACGACTGTGGGAGGGACTGACCCGAAAGCAGACGGCGAAAGAGAGGCGGTATGCAAACAGACGGTCCTTATCAAATGGAAGAAAGGAAGCGGCATTGCAAATGAGGGGGGGTCCTCGCAAATCAAAGAGCAAAGCTGGAAAGGAGATCTTCATTTCCTTCAACAGTCTTGGGGTTTGATCAAACTACAAACGCAGACAAACAGGGCGACGGGGGGAAGATTGGGGAGTCTTTTCTTCGGGCCACTCAGACGACCGTTTGCCTGAACGTGAACGGTGCATCGCCACACAGCGCTGAGGCAGTTGGCCAAATAACTCGCTAACAGTGGCGAAGATCGGTAAACGGGACAACCGACAATGCGGTACAATGGCTGAGCGGCGACTTGGCATTCTGGCCAGAGATTCATTTTCATTTTCCATCATATTTTGGTTCCACTTCTACTCATACCAATAACGGAAATGTTTTGTCATAATACAACTTCATGACCAAGATTGAATCAAGCAAAAAAAAAAAAAAAACACGAACTGAAGCACAAACACATCCGTTTGAGAGTAAATGAGGAGTACAAAAACAGTCAAGTCTTTCATTTCCAAAGCATATGAGCGCATGATGTCCAAAAACACCAATTTCAAAGACGATCTTGACTCACTTTCCTCTGCAGGCAAAACGGTGCGAAAACCCGAAAGATCACATCCG